AGGAGTGCACTTGCTTTGATGAGCACCAGGTGTTGTATGGAACTGTTGAATCACTACACTGTATACCTGAAAGTAATATAACTCTGCATGTTAACTAGCAGGAATTTAAATAAAAACATAAAAAAAAAAATTTGAAAGTTGCCAATGCTTTTTCTGCATCTATGATTATATGACTAACTTTCATTTTGTCAATGTAGTGTATCACATTGACTGATTTGTGAGTGTTGGCCCATCCATGCATTCCTGAATATATTCCACTATATAATGGAATATGATCCTTTTAATGTATTATTGAACTCTGTTTGCTAATATTTTGTTGAGGGTTTTTGCATCTATGCTCATCAGGGATATTGGCCTGTAATTTTATTTACTTACGGCATCCTTGTCTCGTACTGGTATCAGGGTAATGCTGCCCTGTAAGATGAGTTTGGAAGCTTCCCTTCCTCTCAATGTTTTGGAAGAGATGGAGAAGGGGAGGTATTAAATCTGTTTGCATGTTTGGTGGAATTCACCAGGGAAGCCATCTGGTCCTGGACTTCTGTTTGCTGGAGGTTTCTGATCAGAGTCAAGCTCCTTACTACTAACCAGTATTCAGGTATTCTACTTCTTCATGATTCAGCCTTGGAAAGTGAATGTATATAGGGATTGGGGTTCAATTTTTGGCATATAGTTGTTCACAGTAGTCTCTTATAACCCTTTGTCTTTCTGTGGTGTTGGCTGTAACTTCTGTTTCATTTCTGATTATATTTGAGTCCTGTTCTCTTGTTTTCTGGCTGAGTCCACCTACAGGGGGATCAATATTGTTTATCTTTTGAAAGAACCAACTTCTTAGTGTCATTAATTTTTCCCCCCTATATCTTTATAGTACCTATTTCATTTATTCCCACAATGATCTTTGTTCCTTCCTTCTACTATCTCTGGGCTTTATTTGCTCTTTTTCCTTGAGGTTTAAAATTAGATTATTAGAGATTTTTATCATGGACTAATGTAGGCCTGTATCACTATGACCTTCCTTCTTAGAACCACTTCTGCTAAATTTAGATTTTATATGTTCTGTTTTTGTTTAAATTGATCTCAAGCTGTTTTTTCCTTTTCCTTTGATTTCCTCGTTGACTCACTGTTTGTTCAGTAGCATGTTGTTTAATCTCCACATATTTGTGAATTTTCCAGCTTTCTTCATGTAATGGATTTCTAGTTTCATACTGCTGTGGGTCAGAAAAGATGCTTGATATGATTTCACTCTTCTTAAATTTACTGAGACTTGCTTTGTGGCTTAACATGTGATCTATCCTGGAGGACATTCCAAACGCCCTTGAGAAGAATGCATATTCTGTTGCTTACGAATGGAATGTTCTACATAAATTAAGTCCATTGGTGTAAGTGGGGTATCAAAGTCCCCTACTACTGCTGTATTGCATTTCTCTCTTTAGGTCTATTAATATTTGCTTTATATATTTAGGTGCTCCTATGCTGGGTACATAAATGTTTTTACAAACGTTATGTCTTCTTTGTGGACTGATCCCTTTATCATTATGTAATCCCCTTCTTTGTCTCTTATTAACAGTCTTTGTTGTAAAGTCTATTTTGTCTGATGTAACTAACAGTCCCCAGACACAGCTCTTCCTCTTTCTTTTCATTTCCACTTCCATGGAATATCTCTCTGCATCCCTTCACTTTCAGCCTCTGTGTGTCCTTACATCTGAAGTGAGCCTCTTGGATTGCTCTTGTTTTTTTCCCATTGACTCACTCTTGGTCTCTTGGTTAGAGAATTTAGTCCTTCTACATTTGAAGTATTGATAAGCAGATACTTATTGCCATTTTGTTAATTATTTTCTGGCTTTTTTTCAGTAGGGCCTCTCTGTTCCTTTCTTCCTCTCTTTGTCCTTTGTGATTTGATGACTTCCTTTAGTGTTACACTTCGATTCCTTTCCCTTTATATTTTGTGTCTCTACTGGAGGTATTCGGTTTTTGGTCACCATAAGGTTCACATATAACAGCCTATATACACACGCACACATATATTTAATTGTGTGTGTGTGTGTATCTTAGTCTATTTTAATCTGATAGCAACTTAAGTTTGAACATACTCTAAAACTGAGTTTACCTGCCCTCCCCATATTTAATGTTTTGATATTACACTTACATCTTTTTACTTTGTGTATCCCTTAACTAAGTATTGTGGTTTTCATGATTTTTACTACTTTTGTCTTTTTAACCTTCATTCTAGTTTTAGTTTTATTAAGTAATTAATCCATTACCTTTACTCTACATTGACCTTTACCAGTAAGATTTATACTCTCATTTATTTCCTTGTTACTAATCAATGCCCTCTCTCTTCAGCTTAAAGAAGTCCCTTAACATTTCTCATAGGGCCTGTTTAGTGGTGACGAACCCCTTCAGGTTTTGCTTGTCTGGAAAACTATCCCTCCTTCAATTCTGACTGACAGCCTTGCTGGGCAGAGTAGCCTTGGTTGTAGGTTTTCTTTTCAGGACTTTGAATATATCCTGCTGCTCTCTTCTGGCCCTCAAGGTTTCTGCTGAAAAATCTGTTGAGAGTCTTAGTAGTTTCCTTGTATGTAACAAGCTGTTTTTCTCCTGCTGCTTTTATGATTCTCTCATTAACGTTTGACACTTTAATTATAATGTGTCTTGCTGTGAATTTTTTGGATTCATCTTACTGTCAGCTCTCCAGGCTCCCTGGACCTGGATATCTGTTTCTTTTCCTAGGTTAGGGATGTTTCTGCTATTATTTCTTCAATTACATTTTCTGCCCCTTTCTCTCTTTCCCCTCCTTCTGAGACTCCCTAATGTGAATGCTGTTGCACTTGATATTGTTCCTCAAGCTATCTTAACTTAAAATAAATTGTTTTTGTTTCTTTTTGCTGCTCTGTTGAGGTCTACTATCCTGTCTTCTTGAGAGCTGATGCTTTCTTCTGCTTCATCTATGGGAAATTTCCAGGGCATTCTTCAGTTCAGTTATGTTATTCTTATTTTTTTTTTTTTTAGAGATTTTATTTATTTATTTGACAGAGACAGAGACAGTGAGAGCAGGAACACAAGCAGGGGGAGTGGGAGAGGGAGAAGCAGGCTTCCTGCTGAGCCGGAAGCCCGATGCGGGACTCGATCCCAGGACCCTGGGATCATGACCTGAGCCGAAGGCAGTTGCTTAACCAACTGAGCCACCCAGGCGCCCCAGTTATGTTATTCTTAAGTTCTGTGACTTCTGTCTGGTATTTCCTTCTGTTTGCCATCTCCTTGTTGAAGTTCTCACTGTGTTCATCCGTTCTTCTCCGGAGTTCAGTGAGTGTCTTTATGACCATGACTTTGAACTACTTATCAGGTAAATTATTTAGCTCCATTTCATTAAGGTTTTATCTTGTTCTTTTTTCTGGAACAAAGTCCTCTGTGTCTTTGTTTTGTTTGACTCTCTGTATTAAGTGCAGCAGCCAACTCTCCCAGTCTGGAAGGAGTGGCCCGTGCAAGCGATGAATCTTCTCATGCACCCTTGCCCTTGGATGTCTCTTGAACTTTTCTGATTGTCTCAGCAGCCAGATTTATTCCTGATATGTTCCCATTGCTGAGGCTGTGCCAAGACCCATCCATGTTCCAAAGGGAGGAATCCTATTGAGCACCCAGTTTCAGGCTGACTGGAAGCCAGGCTCTCAGGCAGCAGCTTTTAATGTATGCAAATATATACAGTCCTGTGGGACCACACTCATAAACCCTGCTTGCCTCTGGACCAGGACGTCTGGAGGGGTCTCCCGGGCTATAGTTGCAAACATCAGGGCTCCAGATGCATGTGTAGCTCCTTTCTGGGAGATGGAATGAGCTGTAGCAAGGTCAAGGGAGAGTGCGAAGTTGTCCCCCATCTGTGTTCCCTGAGAGTCCCTCCATAGTCTCCAAATCTGTGGCAAACCTGAAAATGGCACCTCAGGCTGCAGCCCCAGGACAAGTAAATAGCCCTTTATCACAGACAGACTGGGCACGTGCATCAGTGTGCTGTCTGTGCAGTGCCCCGGGGTGGCCATCTGTCAGGAACTCTCTGTCCAGGTGATACAGTCCTGTGGGGCCCAGGTATGCAAGCCCCCAGAGCTGGGCGTGCACCTGCCAGCTTTGGCAAGGCTGTGGGACGGTGTGGGGCTGCAGCTCACCCACTGGCTTTAGGGCAGTATCAAGGGAGAAGCAGAGGCAACAACGGAGCAGGTCTGTGCCGTCCCCAGACACAGTCCCAACCCTGTGCCTCGGGCATATGCTCTAAGATTAGCCAATGGATCTTCTTCACACATAGTGTGATCACTTCCCAAACCGCTCCTTCTGCACAGGGCCCTGGGACAAGTGAGTTGAGCGTGAGCTCCATGTGTGTGCCGGACACAAAGGCAGGTGTTTTGGGGGCTCATCTCCCTGGTGCAGGCTCCAGGGATTGGAACGCCTGACTTCAGCATGAACCCCTCACTTCGGGAGAGGGCTCCAAGTTTGTGAGATCCCTCCCACGTGTGGGTCACAGTGCAGGGGTGGGGCGTTCGGGGAGACAGCATCTCTGCCTCTCCTACCTCCCTCACTTTACGTGAAGGAGCTGATCAGCTAGTTTTTGGGTCTTTTTTTAGAGGGGGTTTTTCATATGGAGCTGTAGATGTGGAGTGACCGGGGGAAGAGGTGAGCTCGGCATCTTCCTGCACCACCGTCTTGCACAGCCCGCATCAGCGCTCTGTCACCATCGCCCAGAAGCTCCACCTCCGAGAAGCTGCCCATGCTAAATCCTGCCGCCGAGCTGGGCTTGCCAGGGTCTGTTCCCTCTACTGACACAGCTGACGAAAACCCGCACAGAGCCTCAGAAATAACAAAAACCTCTCTGTGCTTCTCGATCCACATCCTGCTGAGATGAAAAGCCATTTAAAAAACAGCCACCCATGCATGCTGACCTCAAAACAGAACGTTCCACTGCAGCCGAGCCTGACACTCCCCCGGGGTGACAGGCTTGAACGTAACAACACGCTCTTTACCTTTCTCGTGAGCGGGACTTCAATGGGCACGGGGACAACTTCGGCCAGCAGGCAGCCGTAGAAGGCCACCATCGAGGCAGCAGGGTCATTGTTGGGGAACACCAGCGCCACCTGCACGGACATAGAGCAGAGGGGGATTAACCATCCAATTGATGCCACGGGCTCTCAGAAATACTGAAGAGGGACGCAAACCACAGGGCTCATGCTCTAAGTAAGAACAGAGATTGCAACAAAAATTAGGTGCGTGCTGGAAAATACATTTTAGTAAATACCATGTACTTTTCCTTTAATGTATGTGGAAGCCAAACACATTACTGACGGTCATCTAGAACATTCACTGCCCCAGAATACAACCATACCGATGGTTCGCGCATCGCCTTCCCTACTATGCACCTTTACACACTGTGAACCATCACCGTGCACACACTGCCTCATTTCTCACCATTTTCACGGGCTCAGCAGGGGCTTCCCCATGCGTCCACGTGGCCTTCACCAGTGTGCCCCCCACAAGGGCAGGCTGACAGCGGGGGTGGGGGTGCGCGGACCACACAGGACTCTGTTCTGGTCCCTGGCCAGGATTAACCCCTCTGGGCCTTAGTTTTCCTACCTGCGTCCTAGTGTTGTGAGGAAGGTCACCTGAGAAGGTGTAAGAGCTCAGCGTGAGGCCCGGTGCACGGCACGCAGGCGTGAACGTTAGCCCGCCTGGCTGTCAGCCCCCTGCGCTGCTCTCACAGAGGAGGCTCCCGTGAACACCTGCTCCCCTTGTTCCACCCATTGACTTCCCACGCGGCCTCACGAGTGGAGGGCGCAGTGAGCACGGCGTTATCAAAGCCGGGTCACTTTAATCCCCATGGGTAGTGTGATTTTTAAAATATGCTGCTGATAGCCCTGAGCATGTCTTAATGATGAACGACTTTTCTACAGGATGGCTTATAATGACTCTTCCTCGCATCAAGCACTTCATTCCCCTTGCCTATTTACCTGTGTTTCCACATGTGCCCTAAAATCGGGATGAATTTTAAATATAGCTGATAGCATTCTCTCTCACACTTGATGCAAAGACATGACATAGTATCTGTTTTATTTTTATCGCCACCATTAATGTTTTATGCACACTTGTCAAAACTTCCCTTTACGTTGGCACCTAGTATTCACGAATACGCTGTCCAGCGTAAGTGTGCATGGAGCTCATTCTAGTGCCTGCCATGCAGCTCATCTACCGTGGACCCAACTTGCTGTTCTGCCGCTGCAGCTCCTCAGGGAGCAGCCTTTCCTGTCGCCTCGTTCGGAAAGACTCCTTGCGACAAAGCGTAGCCGTCTTGTCTGCACTCCCCGCTCTGCTCTGCAGAACCCTGCTCCTGGGCCAACGCACGTCACTCCCGCACGCCGGTCCCGCATCTGTGTTGCTGTCCCTCCCTGCAGACAACTGCTTGCTGCGTGTTCATAAGCACACAGGCCCCATGATTTAACGTGCACAGGTCACTTCTGCATCACCTCACTCAGGGACTTAACCAGTTTTTTCTTGAATAAGGTCCTAACTAGAAGTCATTATTTTTGCCATGAACAGCTGGGGATAAGATGTTCTATTTCGATATTTAAATAAGCAAATTGGCACAAAGGGATTCAGACGGCAGCTGGGAACAGAACCGGCCATATCTTAAATTTGGCCATGTTAGAAATTTAGCCACACAGCACAGCTGACAGAAAAAAAATTAAGTTTGGGATTGAATGAAGTTTTCCTTTCTATATGGCATTCCTGCAGTTGATTAAAATTGGCGAAATCAAAGATCAATAACCCTGTAAGGCCAGTAAAAGCCATTCTGCACTACTGATGAACTGTGTTTGAGAAACCCTGAGAAGCGACTTACTCTGTCCCAGCCAGAGGGCAGGCAACCATTAGCAGGACCTTCCAGAAGGAAAAAGACGGTTTCTTTGTATGTCTCTGAGGTCCATCATAGCCTCAGGTGTTCTGCCTTCAGCTGGCAGGCTGAGGCGACAGCAATGCTTTTAGATCTGGATCCGGCACAGCAACAACATTCATCAAGAAAGTGTTTGCAAGGCTTCCGCAGAAGACTCTGAGCTTCCATGCAAAACTGACGGTTGCACCTATGCATAGAGGACCAGATAAATATGGGCTCCTGGTCTTCCAGGAGCACCTGTCCGGGAGGCAGCGTCCTCACCAGGAGCAGAGAACCGAGAGCAACATGGTGACATTGCCAGGCCAGACCAGTCCTGTTTCCGGGACCCAGGGCTAGCTACCAGCCCAGCTCTGCGCAGACGAAGATCAACCTGACCTGGGATTTCAAATCCCCACAGCTGTGTCACTGCGGCTCATGCCCACGATGCTACATAAACCTTGCAGGGTTGTGCTAAATAGGAGGAAATGTTACTGCCAGTGTAAAGTACATAAAAGCAGAATATAACATTGTTCATTATTCTCTCTCAACAATATCAAAGTAACGGACTTGTTCTGATAAACCCACACAGCTCCCCTTCGCTTACTGCTCCACGTATTCCTCTGCGATTTCACTGGACCTAATCACCCACAGGGCATGGCAGCAGCCACGGATCAAGAGGCAGAAGCACATCCCAGCGTCTGCTGAGGTCTCATCTCCTTAAAGCGATTCCTCTTGCTCGGCCTGCGCTCGGCTCTCCCTGCATCCGGGGCAGCTGCGCAGACAGCCGGCTTGTCCTGTGTTTGCGCACCACACGCTCTCCCGCCCCGGCTCCTTCCCACACTCGCCTGCCGCCTGGCCGGCAGCCCCTGACTTGCTTCTCCTCTCTGGGAAGACTTCTCAGGTCGCAGATGCTCCTCCCGAATGAAAAAGCTCGCTCTCTCCCCTTCCCAGACAGTCCGTCTCCAACTCTTACCACCTCTTTTGGGGACCTTTATCACTTTGCAATTTATAGAAAAGCTAATTATCGATAATGTGTCTATGTACTTTTTAATACTGCAAGCTCCCTGAGGGCAGGCCTCATACGGGATGCATCTTTGTATCTTCCAAAGCTTTCACTACACCTCTCAAAACCCTATTCAGCTTAGGAATATAAATGCCTTTTATTTATTTTATTTTTTTATTTTTAAGATTTTATTTATTTGACAGAGAGAGACACAGCAAGAGAAGGAACACAAACAGGGGGAGTGGGAGAGGGAGAAGCAGGCTTCTCGCCGAACAGGGACCCCGATACAGGGATTCCATCCCAAGACCCATGACCTGAGCCGAAGGCAGACGCTTAACGACTGAGCCACCCAGGCGCCCCTATAAATGCCTTTTAAAAGCCCAAGGTAATTCCCCAAACTACGTTAATAAGGTCACCCATGTGAAAAATGTCTGTAAAGTTTTATGTCCAAGACTGAATATGCTCATTATTCTGGGGAAAATCATGTTTTATTCAAAACTCATTTTGAAAGAGAGTAAAAAATTCTGTTTATTGCAATAGAAGGTTACGATCAATTGACTACTATCGTCACGTATATTTAATAAAAGTACCTATATGCACGTGCCAGATGCTAAGCACATGAATACTGTTTAAGATAATTTAGAAAAGTAGTTCCCCTCACACAGTTCAAATCAGCCTTTGCCAAAAAACCTCCTTACACAGTTTATTCTATCAAAACTGTCCCCTCAAATTCCTCCTAACATCTTAGCTGAACAGAGGTGCTTTACTTTGTCCTTGTTATTGTCAAGGAACTTCAAGAGTCTGGAGCCACGCTACACAAGAACTTTTAACAAAGTCACTGCACTAAGAGACTAAGACTATCCACCAAATCAGAGCTAAGGGAGATATCACATTACACAGGACTTTTTATTGTGGTGAATCTACATAAAGCTGAGCGTCTCGACTATTTCCAAGTGCACGGGGGCATTAAGGATATCCGTCCTGCTGTGCAGCCCTCACCATCCAGAACCAGCCCCAGAATTCTCATCTTCCTCAACTGAAGCCTCCAGCCCCCCACCCCCTCCTTCAGCTCCCCCGGCCCCTCCCCTCAACCCCCAGGCCCCCCATCCCCCAGCCCCTCCTCCTCCCCTGACAGCCACCTCGCTCTATCTCCAGGATGTTAACTGCCCTAAGCACCTCCTATATCTGTTCTTTGTGGCTGCCTCATTTCACGTAGCATAAAACCCTCAAGGCCCACCCACGGGTTAATGTGTGCCAGAATTTATTTTCTTTTTAAGACTGCTTGATATTCCTGTGTGTGTACACACATTCTGTTTCTCTGTTCATCTGTCCGCGGACACTTGAGTTACTTCCCCCTTCTGGTTTTGTGAATAACGCTGCTCTGAATACTAGTGTAAAACATCTGTTCAAGCCCCTGCTTTCAATTCTTCTGGAAGGGAAGGGAAATCGTTGGATCAAGGGGTGATTCCGTGGTTAATTTCCAAGGGCACCACCATACTGTTTCCCAGTGGCTGCACCAGGGGACCTTCCTACCGGCAGCGCTGAGGTTCCAATTTCTTCATTCTTGCCACTGTAAGGGACGTGCTGAATCACTGGGGTTTTAACGTACTTGTCCCCGAATGAGCAGGCACGTGGAGCTTCTTTTCAGGTGCTTGCTGGCCACCTGCAACGCTTCTCTGGGGAAATGTCTATTCAAGTTCTCTGCCCATTGCTTCACCTCTTTTTTTTTTTTGGTTGTTGCTGAATTGTAGGAGTTTTGTTTACATATTCTGGATGCTAATCTCTTACCAGATACAGGATTTGTAGAAACGTTTTCTCCCATCCTGTGGCACACAGGAGTTATTCTGATAATATCCAATTTATGTTTTCATTTTTGTTGCCTGTGTTTTCAGTGTCATCTAAGAAATGACTGCCAAATTGTGTGATTAAGCTTTCCCCCATGATTTATTCTAAGAGTTTTATAGTTTTTGCTCTTAGGTTTTGATCCATTGTGAGTTAATTTTTTACTCGATGGTTCCACTTTCTCCTTCTGCTTGTGGGTGCCCAGTTTCCCAGCACCATTCGTTGAAGAGACTGTCCTTTCCCTGTTTCATGTCCTAGCGCCCTTAATGAGAACCATTCCCCCACACACGAGAGGGTTTCTCTCTGGGCGCTCTTCTCCACCATCTGCATGTCTGTCTTTACGTCAGTACCGCACCGTGTTAGTGACTTGCTTTGTAGTAAGCTTTACGATCAGGAAGTGGCAAGACCTATAACTGACATTTAAAAGCCAGAGGTCAAGCCTGTTCAATAAACAAGTGTCAAGAATCGCAGTCCACCACACAAGGACTGTGACAATCTCTCAAAAGATTCCTCATAATGGGCCCATCTCTTTATAGTATCTTAAGTCCATTGCAGCTTATGTTCTTGTTGGTTTGGTGCTCAGCACTGGTATTTTTATGAAATTCAATTAGAGTTCTTTGGGCACAGGTAGGATAAATCAGTGTTGGGGTCTAAGGTACAAAACAGCCAATGGGGAGAAGGTGCAACATTTGCAAGCAAGAAAACGCGGTTCTAAGCCCAGCCCCACACCTAAATTGGGGTATAAAGCTGGACAAGGTTATTAACTGCTCTGGGTATAACACTGCAATTGAAATACTAATATCCACTCTGTGTAATTTATCAAGTAAGAATAAAAATTTGCTTATCAATAAAAGACAGTAGCCTCTGTCCAGAAATCTAACACGGGGAAAGGAATGGGACGAGCGGCGTGCTGCCGAGATGGTCCGGCTCACTGATGAACATAAGCAAAGTTTTACAATCACTGTCCTGCCTGCCCAGGTAGAGGACATGAGTATGTTTAAACTTAGTGACAACAGGACAGTGGCTGGGAGCACAGGCCCTGGGCTCTGACAGGAATGGACGTGAGCGCTGGCTGAGCCACTTACTGGTTACCTCGCCAGTCTGAGTGTCTTCATTGGTAACACATGAGAAGGACTCCAGCTGAGCTCAAGGAGTTGTTGTGAAGGTCAATGACATCTTGTGTAATTAATCCTAATCCACAGTTAATGTAACAAAGCCTGATTTAGTAGTATTAGCATTAGGAGACAATGAACTCTGGGACTTCCGACAGCAGGTGTCTTTGCTGTGCAGGACCGAGTATTTGCAGGTGTATTAATGTAAAGAGCACTTACCCGGTCTCCAGGTCGTACCATCGGCTCTTGCTTTGTACCTAATTTATGCAGAATGTTGTAAGCAACCTTCATACTTCTTGTCCACAGTTTGCCTATTAACATAAATGACAAAGACACAAGTAAGTGGACACGTGCATTTTCAGTTATGTATCAATGTGCACATTAAACTAGAGAGAGTACTGGTTCATTTTAAGTCTTCAAGTTTTCCTGAGTCCCTGGAATCAGGAAGGAAAATACGAGCCAGCAACTCTGATTCATAAAATCCGAGAAGCCTAATAAGGTACTAATAAGGTACTAATACAAACACTCTCCATATGCAAGTAGCCCCAGCAAAGCCACCGAAAATTTACCATCACAGGAACTGTAGGGGAAGGTTTCTAGGGAGTAAAGTAGGGCAGGGATCACAACAAGAGTGCCTACTGCTGATTTCGAGTTATGCAAAATGACACATCTCCTCCGTTAGTAGGTCCTGCCTCACGTGACTGTAACGAATGCAAAGGACACTTAGGACACACTTTGTAGAGCCTGCCCCCTCCCTCCCCAAGATTCAAAATTTTTGAAGAGGAATGCTGGAAATTACAGATGGTACTAAGTATTCTGAGTTGAAGTTTTGAACTCCAGGAAAAAAAGGACCACAAAGCAGGATTAAAAACAGGGTTTAAAAAAACCACCAGGGACACCTGGGTGGCTCAGTTGGTTAAGCGTCTGCCTTCCGCTCAGGTCATGATCCTGGGGTCCTGGGATTGAACCCCAAGTCGGGCTCCCTGCTCCGTGGGGAGCCTATTTCTCCCTCTGCCTACTTCCCCTACTTGTGCTCTCTCTGTCAAAAAAATAAAATCTTAAAAAAAAAAAAAAAAAAAGTTTAAAAAAACACGGAAGAAAGAATGGCCAGCTTTGAAGAACCCACAACTTTCCCGTCCCTGCCCCCATCCCAGCGCTGGATACTCCCTCAATGCGACCCAGGCGGGAACACAGCCTGAGACGAAATAAAATGACTCTGAAATCTAACGTGAGCTCTTAGCCACATAAAGGTCCTTCATAATGTGAGCTTCCAGGCACGTTCAGAAGCCAGCAAGGCGTGAGACGTTATGTTAATGTGTCATAACGACAGTTAGGAGCAACTTTAACTTTCCCATAAATAAAATCAGTGTTTTAATCTTTTTCCTATTTTAAATATAAAAGCTAAATTAAGAAGATTTTTGTTGATAACATTTGTTTTGAATAAAAAAAAAGTTGAATTTGTTTTATTTCACACTGGATTTTGCAGCAATCCAAATTAGGGTTATTACTATTTATCTACCACAAGATTTATCAACTTGTCTCCCCCTTAGCGATTAGGGGACACACAGAATGATTTATCTTGATTTCTCTAAGTCCTAGGGTATTCCTGGTTTATAGCATGTGTTCAACACATGTTTGTTTCATTTATGTCCTAGGGAATCTATAAAAAGCACAAAATTACACTATGTGCTTTGGCATTCTTCTTGAGCACTTGGAATAATTACCAGATATGAAGGTTTCGTCTGCCCTCTTCTCTAGCTCCTCCTCAACACTGCAGTCCTCAAGACTGGCTATCTTACTAGTATTTGGTACTTCGTTGGGTGATCATATTTTCCATAAAAACAGTTACTAGCTAGGGGCACCTGGATGGCTCAGTTGGTTAAGCGTCCAACTCTTGATTTTGGCTCAGATCATGATCTCATGGGTCATGGGATCGGGCCCTGGGTTGGGTGCCGCACTCAGCAGGGAGTCAGCTGGGATTATCTCTCTCCCTCTCCCTTTGCCCCTCCCCGACTCACCCTCACGGGTGCACTCGCGCTCTCTAAGATAAATAAATAAATCTTTTAAAAAAAAAGTCACTCGCTATTAGAAATGACTCAGTTCCAGAAATGAAAGGAACTTAAATGACTCTTTCTTCTAAAGAAAACACAAGTATTTTTGCCTTCAAATTTCTTTAATATAAACAATATCAGGGAATGATGGTTAAATAAACAATTACAGTCAATTTACTGTAATTGTAAAACTCAATGCGCTGTACATGAACAAATCAGTTACACTCAAACGATTAGCACCATTATGTTCTGTTAAAGTTCCAACTTCATTCTCAGTTTGGAATATTAACTTTGATGCCATCGTACATTCATACAAAAGCCAGTTTACAACTAAGAGCTTGAAATGGGCAACACACTTTTGGCAAAATACTGGAAATATACTTGGTATTTTTCAAGGATAAAAATATAAAGTTGTTGATTTAAGTGAAAGGAGATAACAACGGTTCTTCACTGATTTATAAAGGAGGAAGAAAAAAACTCCCACCGAGAAAAGTTCCTGGGAAAGTGATCATTCAGAGCAGAATGACAGATAAAGTGTTTTCCTACGAGCAAACGCTGACAGACTTCATCACCACTAAATCACACTTAAAAGAAACATTAAAGGGACTTCTTCAAGCTGAAAAGAAAGGGCACTAAATTAGTAACAAGAAAACACATAAACATATAAATCCCACCAGTGAAGGTAAATATATAGGAATGGTAGTGGACTCTATAAAGTTAGCATAAAGGTTAAAGAACAAAAGTAGTAAATAGGGATATACAAGATAAAAAAGATGTAAAATGTGAGAACATAAATGTGGGCAGGGGGAGTAAAAATGTACAGGTTTAGACTGTGCTTGAACATAAGTTGTTATGAACTTAAAATAGACTGTTATAAAAATAAGTTGTTATATGTAAGTGTCATGGAAACCACCAAGGAAACACCTCTGGCAGATCCACAAAATATAAAGAGAAAGAAATCTAAGGGTAACACTAAAAAAGTCATCAAATCACAAAGGAAAAGAAAAAAAGAAACAGAGAGACCCTGCTGAAAAACAACCAGAAAACAATTGCCAAAATGGCAATAAGTACCTACTTATCAGTAATTACTTCAAATGTAGAAGGACTAAATTCTCTAAACAAAAGACATAGAGTGGATCAAAGGGGAAAAAAACAAGAACAATCAATATGCTGCCTACAAGAGACTGATTTCAGATATAAGGACACACAGAGATGAAAGTGAAAGGATGTAGAAATATATTCCATGCAAATGGGAAAAAAAAAAGCTGGGGTAGCAATACTTATATCAGACAAAACACAATTTATAACAAAGACTGTAATAAGAGAGAAAGAAGGGAATTACATAACGATAAAGGGATCAGTCCACTAAGACGACATAACATTTGTAAATATTTATATACCCAACATAGGAGCACCTAAATACACAAATCAAATATTAATAGCCCTAAAGGGAGAAATTAACAGCAATACAATAATAGTAGGGAACTTTAATACCCCACTTATATCAATGGATAGATCATCCAGACAGAAAATCAGTAAGGAAACAGTAGCCTTGAACAATACATTAGACCAGATGGACTTAATTTATATAGAACATTCCATCCATAAGCAACAGAATGCACATTATTCTCAAGTGCACCTGGAACATTCTCCAGATCACACATTAGGCCACAAAACAAGTCTCAATAAATTCAAGAAGACTGATACCATATCAAGTATCGTTTCTGACCCATAGTGGTAACAAACTAGAAATCAATTATAAGAAGAAGGCTGGAAAATTCACAAATATGTAGAGATTAAACAACATGCTACTAAGCAACCAGTGGGTCAACAAAGAAATCAAAGAAGAAATAAAAAAAACACCTTTAGACAAATGAAAATACAACATACCAAAACCTACAATTTGCAGCAAAAGTAGATTTAAGATGGAAGTACTTGGCAATACAGACCTGCCTCAAGAAACAAGAAAAATCTCCAATAAACAACCTTACACCTAACCTTACACCTCAAGGTTGGTAGGAAGTAGGAAAAAAACAAATGAAATCCAAGTTAGTTAAAAGAAGGAAATAACAAAGATCAGAGCAGAGCCACATGAAATAGAGACTAGAAAGACAATAGAAAGACAAACATGAGGAACAGACATGAGGAACCATGAGGAAACATAAAACCTGAATAGAACGATTACTAGTAAGGAGATTTAATCAGTAATTAAAAACCTCCCTACAAATAGAAGTCCACAAACAGATGGCTTTCCTGGTGAATTCTAACAGTCAAAGATTTAATACCTATCCTCCTCAAACTCTTCAAAAAAAAAAAAAAAAGTGAGAGAAGGGAACGATTCCAAACTCATTTTATGAAGCCAGCATTACCCTGATACCAAAACCAGACAAGGACACCACAAAAGAAAAAAAAAAACCCAAAAAACAAATAAACAAAAACCCAGGCCCATATTCTTGATACATATAGATGCAAAATTCTTCAACAAAATACTAGCAAACCGAATTCAACAATACATTAAAAGGATCACATATCATGATCAAGTGGGATTTATTCCAGGGACACATGCATGGTCCAACATTGACAAATCAATCAACATGATACATCACGTTAACAAAATGAATAAAAATCCTATGTCCATACATGCAGAAAAAGCATTTAACAAAATTCAACATCTTTTTTGATGAGAAACTCTCAACAAAGTGAATATAGAGGGAACGTACCTCAGTATAATAAAGCCCGTATATTACAAGCCCACAGCTAATATACTCTGAAACCAGGAACAAGACAAGGATGCCCAATCTCACCACTTTTATTCAACATAGTATTGGAAGTCCTAGCCAGAGTAATTAGGCAAGAAAAAGACATAAAAGGTATCTATATTGGAAAGGAAAAAGTAAAACTGTCTCTCTTTGAGGATTATGTAATTTTATTTTATTTTTTTTTAAGATTTTATTTATTTATTTGACAGAGAGAGACACAGCGAGAGAGGGAACACAAGCAGGGGGAGTGGGAGAGGGAGAAGCAGGCTTCCTGCCAAGCAGGGAGCCTGACCCGGGGCTCAATCCCAGGATCCTGGGATCATGACTTGAGCTGAAGGCAGACGCTTAATAACTGAGCCACCTAGGTGCCCCAGGATTACATAATTTTATATATAGAAAATCCTAAAGATGCCACCAAATCCAAAACCAAACAAAACAAAACCAAAAAACCCACAACCAAACTGTTAGACCTAATCAATGAATTGAATAAAGCTGCAGAGTGCAAAATCAATATACAAAAATTGTATACAGTGAACTATCAGAGAAATTAAGAAAACATTTATAGTTGCATCAAAAAGAATAAAATAGCTAGGAATAATTTTAACCAAGGAGGGGAAAGACGTATACACTGAAAATGATATGACACTGATGAAAGAAGTTGAGGAAGACAGGAATAAATGTGAAGATATCCCATGCTCATGGACTGGGAGAAATAATATTGTTAAATGTCCATATTACCCAAAGCAATCTACAGATTCAGTGCCATCAATATAAAAATTTTTTCACAGAACTAGAACAAAGAATTTTAACATTTGTACAGAACCACAAAAGACCCCAAAAAGCCAAAACAATCTTGAGTAAGAAAAGCAAAGCTCGGGGCACCCAGCTCCTTGATTTTAGACTATATTACAAAGCTAAGGTAATTAAAACAGTGTGGTATTGGCATTAAACAGACAGATGAGTGGAACAGAGAGCCCAGAAATAAACCCATTCTTATATGGTCAATTAAGGAGGGAAGAATACACAATGGGGGAAAAGGAGTCCCTTCAATAAAAATAAATGGCAGTGGGAAAACTGGACGCCACATGTACCAGAAGGAAACTAAACCACTATCTTACACCATACATAAAAATTAACTCAAAATGAATGAAAAACTTGAAGACTTGAAACCATAAAACTCCTAGAAGAAAATATAGATGCTAAGCTACTCAGTATCAGTCTTAGTGATTTTTTTTGGATCTGACACCAAAAGCAAAAATAAGCAAGTGGGACCACATTAAACTAAAAACCTTTTGCACAGCAAAGGAAACAATCAGGACAATGAAAAAGCAAATTACAGATATTTGCAAATTATTTATCCAATTATGGTTTAATATCTAAAATATATAAAGAACTCCTACAACTCAATAGCAAAAAAACAATCTGATTTAAAAATGGGCAGAGGGACTGAATAGACATTTTTCCAAAGAAGGCATCCAGATGGCCAAGAGGCATATGAAGAGATGCTCAACATCACTTATCATCAGACAGATTAAATCAAAATCATTGAGAGACCACCTCACACCTGTCAGAACAGCTGGTATCAAAAAGACAAGAGATAACAAATGCAGGTGAAGATGTGGGGAAAGGGGAACCTCGTGCACTGTCAGTGGGAATACAAACTGGTGCAGCCACTCTGGAAAACAGTATGGAGTTTCCTCAAGAACTTAAAAATAGAAGTACCCTGTGATCCAGCAATCCCATTTCTAGGTATATCCAAAGCAAATAAAAACACTAACTTAAAAAGATATCTGCACCCCCTGTTCACTGCAGCATTATTTACAGTAGCCAAGATATGGAAGCAACCCAAGTGTCCATCAAGGGGTGGGTGGATAAAGGGCATGTGGTATATGTATACAATGGAATACTACTCAGCCATAATAAGGAATGAAATCTCTCCATGTGTGAGACCATGGATGGACTTGAAGGCATTATGCTAAGTGAAAGAGGTAAGACAGAGAAAAACAAATACCTTATGATCTCACTTATTTGTAGACTCTAGAAACCAAGCTCATAGACACAGAGAACAGATGGGCTCTTCCAGAGGTGGGGAATGGGAGGGAGAAATGGGTGAAGGGGGGCAAAGGTACAAACCTCCAGTTATAAAGTAAGTCATGAGGTGTAACGTATAGGATGGTGACTGTGGTAAACACTAGTTAACAATAATACTCTGTTGTCTATTTGAAACATGGGAATTGGACATGAAGTTCCAACAGATTTTGGCAAGTTGAACTGGGAAAAAAGATACTGAGACTCTAAGATAGTCATGTGCATACAGAAAAGAAGAGAGATGTGGACAGGACGTATGCACTGTCTTATTACATATTTAATTTCAGTTGGATTTCTGTGAGGAGCATCCACCTGTAAGAAGAGTGTAGCTCTGAGGACGGTGGCAGGTGGGTGAGGAAGGGTTGTCAGACCTCACACGCCGCCCCGCAGCTAGGACACCTACGCACTGCAGAGACAGTCCGGGAAACTCATCACCAACAACGCAAAACACAAAAAGACAGAGAAAGGCTCCCCAGTGCTGTTGGAGCTCAAGCATCTAAATGTTCCAAAAGATCTGGAGCAAAAGCCAAGTCATAGATCATAAAAGGAAGGAAGAAGGAAGAAAAAAGAGGGAGGGAGGGATGGGGAGGGGGGAGGCTGCCTGGTAGTAAAAGCATACTGCAGCAAAGCAGAATGAACTTGCAGGTATCTCGTCGAGAACGGGACGAGGCAGAGAATCATGATGGAAGGAAAGGAGTTCCTTAGCATGATTTATTTTTATTAATTGAAGATGATGAAATGCCCTGGTTCTCCTCAGTGTGCATATTATTTATATTGGTAAATGGAGAACAGAAGATGTTTCTACAGGGTTGTTGACAACCTTCACCCACCATGTGTATTTCCTGTCAAAGATCCCAAGTTTCTCATCTGGGAGTTCTGCTACCCGGGGCTTTGCAGGAAGCTGAACTTGAGAGCTGACGGTTAACTGCAATACTGAAAATCGTCTGGAGCTATGTGGTATTAGAATAATCTTATTCAGTGAACTTCTCTCTGTGTCTTTGAAGCCACACCCAATGATTATAGGCTCATCTATTTCAGTGTTTCTATAAAGCACTGAAATATATATAAAGCACTTTTCCACACTTTTTCTTGTATTAGCCAACACTTCCCTTTTACAGCCTGATAAACTATTATCTGCTTTTTGGAAATGCATTGCTTTCTTACATTCCTTTAACAAGTAAAAACCAAGGTTGACCCAGAGCATATGCCTAATCTAGAAGACTAAAATGCAATAAAATATAGATGATTTAAATGCAGGAGTTGTGATGCCTGGGTGTAGACAACATGTCCCAAATTTTCACAGATAACTTCCGGTCTGCATCTTACACTTCGGTTCCTCGTAACCTTGCAAGAAGGGAAAGTCAGCACTCCCTCAGTCAAGGGCTGTCCTTCTGATCTAGATCTCAGCCTGGGGAATCATGTCTCATCTCTGATGACCTGCTGTGGCACCGAGCCACACCCCACTGAATGCTCATGGGCTGACAGGTGAGTGCTGCTGTGTGTGCGTACAGGCGGGTCCGAGAGTCCCCATATGTGGCAGGCGAGCCTGCGGAGGATTCAGCTAAGAAGCAGCTATCCCAACTACACACCAGCTCCCAGGCTGCATCTGGCAAGGGATGAGGGTCACGAAGGAAAGTCTTCATCTACTTCACTGAAGAAAACCTATCTCCAAAGAGTATAATGAAAAAATCAAGCTTATGCCTCATCCTGGGTGAAATGCTCTTTATCCATTTAGAATTACCCCAAAGTGGGGCACCTGGGTGGCTCAGTCGGTTGGCATCTGACTTCGGCTCAGGTCATGATCCCAGGGTCCTAGGATCGAGCCCCGCATCGGGCTCCTTGCTCAACAGGGGGCCTGCTTCTCCCTCTCCCTCTGCCGCTCCCCCTGCTTGTGCTCTCTCCCTTTCCCTCAAATAAATAAAATCTTAAAAGAACTACCCAAACGTGCCCTAAAATGATGAAGCTGTGAGACGCATGCTCCTGAACCTCACAACCCATCTCTGCCGGGGAGGCGCGGGGTAATGACTCAGTCTGGGCTGGTACCACCTGGGGCCCAGCACCCGAAAGGCTGGCTCTGCATCATTTAATGTAACATCTGCTTCTTGAGGTGGACTCTGCCAAGGCAGAAATCCGTGTCATTCCTACTGCTGGCAAGAGCATGCTCCGGTTACAAAAACAAAACTGAGATCTAGACAAAGGTCATCTCATCTCACACAGGCAGATGCAACACGAGCCGTTTTGGTCTTTTAGTTACCAGCTGGTTTCTTTGCAAACCAACCTGACAGTGTGCTTTCTCCACGGCCCCTTGCCCAGGGACAGTCGACTATTTCCAGAAGTGTAGAGATTCCAGTAATTGTGCTGAATGAAGAAGTAGAGAAAAGCCCGTTTCTCTTGCTTTTTTGCATAATCACTTTGGAAAGACATGGTCTTTTCCGAGGGGTCCATGTCACAGGGTTTAGACACGAATTCTTTAACTGCCCATCATTCCTGAAGGCACGACTTTTGAGAATATCAGACACATTCCCAGACGTAAAATCCAACATCTCGTTAGGGTTGTGACCCACTAATTTCTTGTACCCATCTCTGGCTTTTACTCAGGGAACATTTAGCAAGTAATAACTTTCCGTATTCAAACTAAATACTTTCCTAAAACATTTCCTTCCAGAGTCCCATTTGTGTGTGTGCCGGACGTGGAAGGGGGTGCAAGGGGTAAGCCAGCCTGAAAGTGGCCGCTGGGCCCAGAGGACAGTGAAGGAAGCGCAGAGAATTACCGTAAGTGAGGATGTACAGGGGCTTCCCGTTCGTGTCCATCGTGGTCAAGCACGGGGCCTTCGGGGAGATGGTCCCCCATCGCTGCAACGCGGCTTCCAGGGACGGGGGCCAGTTGGTGACCACTCCCAGCTGCTCCCCGCGCATGGCCAACATCTGTGCTCCCTCTGGCTTGGGCTGGTTCGGATCTGGTTGTTGAACTACGTGCATTCAAACACAAAGAGTTTTCAAGAAAAGAACATCCCTATCAGTGCAGTCACCTTTTTTCTTCTTTTTAAACTGACACCAGTTTACTAGCGGACAGAAAGCATGCATGCACGCTTTTCTAGAATCAGAGCCAGGACGCACATACTGGCCTCAGGGATAGAGGGGAAGCACTGAATTCTTACGCTGTCCAAGACAATACTGGGATGGTGAACAGAGGGAGACCTGAGTGCATCTGTAAACGGACGCGGGCACTGGGTATTTTAACATGCTTGGAGTCGGGAATAGCAAAGGCTCTGTTTAAAATATTAATTATTGATCAACACTCGTGATTCTGGACTCCGGAGCTCAAATCCTGCTAAACCGTATTGCCTTAAACACTGACATGTAAATGTGAATTTGCAACGCATACTCTGAATAACTAGCACAGATCACGTTTTCTAGAGTAAAACAAAAGTAAGTGCCCCGTAAAGCAATGATAAATTGCATTACGACTCTTCTGCTGACGTGAGCAACTGCAGAAGGCTTCTCCCCTCCCCGTTCGTGACTGACACTCTCCACCTGCTGGCTAGACAGTCAGCTGTGTCTTACTTGTGGTACAAAGGGTCTGGGTTGGACGTGGCAAGCATGGCTTTGTCTTGACTTTATGTTCAAAGGCTCGTGAACGTGTACAGAGGGCAGGAGAAGGAGCCAGCCACACGCCCACACACCCAGTCCGCGTTCCTCAGAGAGAGAGCGTGGCCGGGAGCCACATCTGGCTGTGCTGCCTGACGGAGGCCCGGCTCATGGGGCGACATCCCAGTGTGCGAGAGCCCCGCACACGCGTGCCCTGGGTGTCTACCCGGCCCGCCTGCACTCGGCCCGTCTGCGGGCGGGGAACAGGGCCCACAGTCTCCAGATAAGAGTCCTGTCTTCCGGGGAATGCCGAGACTGCTGATCTTAACGGGGCCCGCCACGATGGTCTGTGGGGTCACGCGGACACGGGGAGAACGGGGTGGCAAAGGGCCCGTCACCTTCCAGCAGTTCTTCAAAGTCATCGACAAAGAACTCCCGTAACGGCGGCCGCTTTGGTCGCTTGAGGGTGTTGACAAGCTGTTGGATTTTCGCCGACACCCGGCTACTTACAGGCACCCCTGGAAGACAGAACCACGGATGGCCTGATGAAGGGACGGTCAGCACCTCACCCGCAGACCAAGCGACCGTGACGCTGGTGCCGTGGCCCCACCTCGAGTGCCGCCCAGGACACCCCACACTGCGAGAGCTTGCCCCTGGGAGGACAGCAGGCCCCGGGGGCTGCAGGGGCCCCAGGAACGACACTCCGTGACCACTCTATCCGTCATCCGTCATGGTGGTGGGAGGGGTATCAGACTCAGGCTGGCCCCGTCCCACCTCCCGTTCCTGAAACAGATCTGTCCCTCTTCATTCACAGACTCAGGTCCCTGCTCCAACGGGGGTCAGAGACCCCACGCAGCAGGGAGACCCTCCCCAAGGCCCCGAGGCCTGAGACCACCGGTGCTCCCCTGTGGGGCCAGAGCAGTCTGCCAGACACGTCAAATTCAGGGGGACGGCAGGCCCCTGTCAGGCACTGTCCCTGCACCTCCTGACAAAAGTGCGGGCACTCAAGGTCTGTGGAGGGCCCGTCCTCTCTCCTCACGGGTACCCAGCGCCCTCCTACGTGTCTTTCAGTCCCACCCACGAGTGCACGTTTAGGCAATGCATCCCGGAGCACAATTTAAATGCACTCTAAATTCAGTTTTTTGCATAACACAGAACACTAGCCCGTAGCATCTATTCCTGTGTACAAATTCCATTTTATAACAATATAGCTCTTATTTATAACAACGAATGACATCATTTTAAGAATAAATGACATGATTGTTGAAAAAGGCATGAACAACCCAAGTTAATGACTACAAGGAGCGCCAGGGTGCTGACATCCTCAAGGGGAAGAAGTGTGTCCTCTGCAGACACGTCTCATTCCGCGGAAAGGTGCTCAGACACGCGGACAACCACGTCTTCCAGGCAGAGCAGTCATGCTGCAAACAGGGGCGGCTCGCGGACCGTGATGAGGGACATGTGCCCAGTGGGACGGACGGCACAACACGGCCATGCTGACCATTTTCACGAAAGTCACATCTTCTGCAGTCTAAAGCACCACACTAGCTCATACCTGCCGATTGTTTTGTTTTACATTTAACTTCACGCTGCCCTTCTGCCAACCACTCACGGTCTTAACACTTCCACGCTAATTTCTTAATTGCTGAACCAACATTTGTTGACAAGTAGCAAGCACATCAAAATCTTATAAAACATCTGCTTCTTCTCAAGACTAAATTCCCACCACACTGATGTTTTTTCCGACATGGAAACACGTGAGATACTTTGCATTTCTTGTGTCCACGCCACCTTCCGTGGCAGCTAGGTGACAGATCACAGTCCACTGTGTACCCACAGGAAACCTCCGCCCCTGCGCACGGAAGGGCGGGTTGCAGGGACGGGGATTACAAAGGAGTTGCCGCGACCCCAGGAGACCTACCATCGCCCGTCTCCATGAGCTCCGCGTTGCCGTACTTGGGTGCCGTCCGCGATGTCGTCGAGCCCTGCGGCCTTTCTACTTGTATTGGGTGTTCTGAGGTGTAAGTGGTCACGTCAGGAGGTGCAGAGTGATTTTCTAGAAAGAAGCAAATCACAAGTTTTCTGATCATCACGACCAAGTTATTCTGAAGGGTAAGTGAGCCACGGGGTTTCACAAACTGCCACGTCCCAAGAGAAGACCAAGAGTCTGAGTCCATGTCCACTGCAAGTCTCAGCATAAGGATTATCTTTAAGGTAACGTACGCTGCTCAAAACGGAACCAAGGTTGGTACCCCTCCTGACATAAAATTACAGCGGGAGTCACATCGATGAAGCACTGCAGTGCGTTAACTAAAATAATGTTCTCAAACTGCCCGTGGAAACAGAGACATTTTAAGTTATGCATTTGTTCATAAAAGAGTAATTTTCTCGTTTGTCGTAACAGAGGCAGAGAAGAGCTCAAGCTCTGCAGGTAGATTCTGGGGTCTGCATCCTGGCTCTGTGTGTCCCCCCAACTTGTGGGGAGCGTCTTAGCCTCTCGTGCCTCAGTGTCCTCCTCCCCAAACGGGACTAACATGGCTGGTCCCCTGCAGGGTGCAGTAAATGAATGAAACATACGTAAGGCTCTTAGCACATTTTGTGACGGAGGGTAAGGATCCAAGAGCTGTGAGCTGTTCTATTTGCTTTAGCACACATGATACTAAGTGACCATTCCAAACACGTGTCTATATGTGTATCAGTGCCGTATCCCATGTAGCGAGCCATGCCTGCATGGTCCCAGGCACCAGACCCAGCGGGCACATGGACACACACGGGGACTGGGGCTGCCAGCGTCCCCCGGTTTGGTGCCTGGTCCCCTGCTCATAGTTGCTCCCCTGCGACCTGTTACTCACCTGTCTGTGCTTCGGCTTCTTTTTCTGTAAGACGCAGATCATAACGACGGCACCGACCTTAAGGCGGTCGATATACGTAAGCACCTGAGCAATGTTACTGTTGGGCGCAGAGACATCCGCTGCAGGAGAGACACTGGCCGCAGCACGGTGTGAGCGAGGCGGGAGCAGAACCCCTGCAGCAGCAGCTGCGGGGTCTCCCCTGGGGTCTCCATGCAGCACATGGGAGCACCAGAGTCCTAGCCGTAGGCCCTCAGCAGATGGCTGGGTTCCCTGTGTATCTGCCCTGGTGTGAGCCACGCTGTGTCCCCTCACAGGTCACCCGTGCAAGTCCTCACCCCCAGGACCTCAGACGGGTCTGTGCAGAGGTCACTAGGGCCACCCTAACCCCATGTAACTGGGGTCCTCATAAGGAGATCAGGACACAGACATGTGCAGAGGGACGGCCATGTGAGGACCCAGGGAGGGACGGTGTCTGCACGCCCAGGACAGAAGCCTCGGGAGACCCCAGTCCTGCGCACACCTGCACCTCAGGCTCCCAGCCCCCAGGACGTGGAATGAGAATCTCTGTTTTTTAAGCCCCAGACCGGGTGCTCAGTGAGAGTGGCTTGAGCGGACTCACACCCCACGAGGGCAATTTCCTCGACCTCAGCTCAGGAAGGAACCCCTCTCAGAAAGGCAAGGGAGGCCGCTCTGTCCGGTCACCAAGGGACACGCAGCCAGGGTCTCTCTTCCATGTCTGAGACTCGGTTTCCACCCTCTTCATTAGCCCTACGCATGCTTCTGCCACACGTGCTTCACTCCACAGAGAAACGTGACCTGCTTCTCTGTGGCTAAGTGGTGCACCTGCTGGGGTCTCCTACTTCACGCGAAGACACAGCAGACGGAGATGCATCGTGAGCAAGACATCAGCCCGCCACCGTAACAAGGCAGCTGAAATGGGAGCTCACGGCGCTGCGGATTTATTCAGATTCACTTGTGTTTCGGTTACGCCGTGGTCCCGTCACCGGTGGCTGCCCATTGGGGTTTGTGCTGGGAATGCTCCGCTCTGATGCTGGGGGAAGAATGATTCTGATACATCTGGTGGTGGAAAAATGGTAACAGTGACAGCTGGGGGACCTCAAAGTGCCTTCCAAATTTACTGATGTGTGTGTGTCCCCTCTCCTCCACTGGGGGTTGCTCCCCTCACCGCTGGCTTCTGTTGGGGTGCCAGAGGCCAGTGCCGTTGTGAGACACGCCATGCCCTATTCTGATGAAGATCGGGACTCCACGTATTCAACTCTGAAGGAAGCTCACGTGTAACAGATGCTCAAGAAACACTTGTTGATGGGCAAGAACAGTGGACTCAGGCTGGAGGCACGGCTCAAAGGGCTGTAATGCTCATCAGCTCCTGGCGTGAGCCACAGACGGCCACGTGTGCCAGGAGCACCTGCTCATCAGCTCCCCACGTGAGCCATGGACAGCCATGTGTGCCAGGAGCACCAGCTCATCAGCTCCCGGCGTGAGCCACCGATGGCCACATGTGGCAGGAGCACCTGCTCATCAGCTCCCGGTGTAAGCCACGGATGGTCACGTGTGCCAGGACCACCTTGACATCCTCAGGGCCAGTCTGTATCTTCTGAGCAAGTGAGCACACTGGTTCTTGTATCAGTTCCCGGTCCTTTTAAAATCAAGAAAAAAATGGTGGCTACCCTCCAGCCACCTGTTAAGAGTCACCTCCTCCACTGAGAACCCCCCAGAGCTGCCCCCACAGGTGGGTCTTATGTCATTGATGCTATATGACTTTGCTCCCAGCAGCTGATGGTTCCTCCAGAATCTGCAACTCAAGATGGCACAGGTGTGGGGAGGGAGGGAAGGAGGCAGAAGGAGGCGCAGTTCAGCCGCCCTTATGATCTGGTAGCAGGGGTCCAGCTCACCCTCGGACACCCCCTGGGTGTTCTTGCCAGCAATGCCCTGGTCTCCACCCCACCTGGACAGCGGTTTCTGGCCAAGACTGTCTCAGGGTGCAGGCTGGTCTCCTGGCTGAACCTGGAAACCCCCTGCTTCCTGACCTAAGTCTCCAGCTCCGTGTGGCTCCCCAGGTCCTACTCAGACACTGAAGTGACTCCAACCAGCCCACGGCATCAGTGCTCAGCCCATGTTGGAGAAACGGTCTGAAGAATGAATGAACACAGAATAAATAAAGCAACACTTCGACAACCACAGATATTCCAACACCGGCTGAAAAGCAGCTTTAATTCTGACTGTATGGTGGCGATACCTAGGGTAAGTGGTGACAGATTCCACTTTAAAGCCATGTTAGTTACTTCTCAGTCCCCAAATAACTTCTGAGGGAACAGTAGGAAATCCGGCTTTTACATGTAGAAATGTAAATGTAAATGTACATGTGCTCGTGGCCGACTGATGGACATGGGTCACAAGCAATGCATTCAGGGGAACCCGAGCTTCGCTCATGCAGAATGCCCCACACCCCGAGTCCCTGTAGTCACCTGGACCTCCGTTAGCACTGACGAGGAAGCGGGAAATGGGCTCCCTGTTACACCCCAGACCACCCTGCGTGCCCAGCTGCTCTGGCTCGCACACCTTCCCCGTGGGGGTGGAAAAGCAGGCTCCTTGATGGAGTCATGGAGGTGAGCCAGACGTGACCTTCTTGGAAGGAGCTGGCCTCAGAGGGGTCAGAACATCCACTCTGCGGGGGCCTGTGCCTGACGGCTCCCTGCTCGGGTCCATTCTCAGCACAGCCGATCCGGAGAGAGGACCTGCCCCGAGTCTCCCCAGCCGTCGGCCTAACCCGTTACTGCTTGTGGTGATCCACACTGGCCTTTCACATTTCAGGCGGACCATCCACAGACCACCGCTAGAGGTGGTTGCACGAGGGCTAGGTGCTTCTATGCCCCAACCTTCCTCCGGCCCAAGTTCTGAGTCAGGGGTGACTTTAGGAGGATCGCCAGGTTCTCTGCCCTCCCACGCTGATGCCACGTGATCCCATGAAGATAGAACAGCAACGGTCAGACAGGTCTTAGGAAGTATGTGCCAATATCAGAACAGGAACCTTCGACTTCGAACAAGAACCTCTTGATTTTTATATCCTCAAGTTCAAATTCCTGATGACAGGCTCCAACTGTCCCAGCACCTCCACAGACCACAGACCCTGTGGGGGGGTGGGTCCTGGGGACAATGAAGTCTTTGCTGTTAATGCAAGGTGTAACTGAGCTTTTGTCTGGAAAGGAGCTCCCTTCCGTTGTGACGAGCTGGTGCTCCTGCATCCCACAGGTTTGTCAGGTCCTGCTGACCACCGACCCGCTGGGCACCTGTGGCCTCACGCCAACATTCCTGGGCCTCAGTCTCCCCCCTGCAGAACAAGGGGTGGTGAGCCCTCACCGGGCTGAAGGAACTACATGACAGGGCGCCCTGACGCCCTGGCTAGGGTGTGCTTACCCTCGGGCCGGCGCCCAGGCCTGCAGGCTTCCCTCCGCCTTTTCTCCCTGTATGTGAGGACCCTCTTAGAAGCTCCAAGAGAGAATCTGTGAAACTCATGTGCATAAAGGTGTAAATGACTCTGTTACTACTTTCCGAGTTAAATGCATTTAAATGTCACAAACGGCAGAACTAAACAGATGCGTGTCTCCAGTGTGCACCAGGGTGTGAGTGTGCAGGCCAGTGAGGTGCCCCTGTGGTATGGGATGCATGGGGGAGGAGGGGTTGAGACACTTCTGGATGCAAAAGTCATTACTTTGAGTCTACATATAAAATCCAAAGAAGCGAGTGCTGAGAGGTGAAAATCGCAGGAGCATTTCTGGGAAGAAACAGGAGTGGACCTGTGTCCTAACAGTGCTGAAGGAGCAGCAGGGCTCAGAACAACCAGAAAGGCAAGGACATGAGGGCATAAGGGCCTGAGACAGTCCAGAAGGGAGGTGGGGGTCTGGGGACAGTCTCGGAGAGGAACAAGGCTTGCAACATGTGTGGCAGCCGAACACCCAGACGTGGATGCACGAGGGTGATGGGGACAAGGAGCCATGGCGCTTGGGTCTCAAGCCTGCTCCTGGGAGGACAGCCTCTTCGACAGGCTGGTCTCGGGGTACGGGGGACCCATGTGCAGTGTTGGGAGGCGCTCTGAAATGGGGGCTGTGAGGGATTTCATGGTGGGAAATGCAGATCTGCGTGTCGGTGAAGAGCAGGCAGCCTCGAAAACCGCATGAGTGCACGAAGTCAGCAAGAACGTGGAGAGAGAGGGCGGGACAGGAGAGCCCCGGTGCCGGGGGGGCGCTGGCGTGTGGTGTAGGCTGTGAGCAGAGGCCGTGAGCAGCCGGTGACACCCCAAGCTGGGAGGGAAGAGCTGACCTCCCGGGAGCCAGCATCAGAGGAAAGGATGGGCCTCAGAAGAGCGAGCACCCCTCTCCAGAAAAGGAAACAGGAAGACGCAGCGAGAGACAGGATGACGTCTGAGCTGGAGAGGCGTCAGTGGTTAGAGAACGTTCCTCAAGCAGATGGACACAGATGGGCAGTGACGTTCGCTCCCCGTTCCCGAGCGTTTCTGCAGGGATCAGCTTCCCGCTCAACTAAACATGATGACACAGGGTGAGAAGCCTGCATGAGGACCTAACTAAAAACCCCCCAGTCGGGGTAGCTGCCGCGGGTCCTGCTCTCAAGCCAGTCCTGGATCACCAAAGGAACCCCAAGAAATCTGTAACCCATGGTGGAGTGTCCGCATTGCCTGGGGTGAGCTAACTCACCGTCCGCCTTTCCCTGCTGTCCCAGGAGCCTGGTGTAGAGCTCTCTAGCAGGAGGTGGCCAGTGGTGGATCAGGGGCAGCCTGCCACCTGTTCTTATAAATAAAGTTTTTTGCCACACGGACACGCCCACCTGCTTACAGATGCCTTGGTTCTAGAGAGCAGGGTGGAACAGCTGCAGAGACACCACTGGGCCCACGAAGCCCAAGTCACTTACTCTCCGGCCCTTTGACGGGAAAGCATGCTGACCGTGCAGTGGTCAGGGAGCTCTCGGGGGTGAGAGGCTGTGCAGGGAGACCCCAGCCTCAGGTGTGCGAGCTTCACCTCTTCTGCTCTGCCAGAGGAATCGTTGTTCTCCTTTATTCCCTGTTTTATTGTATTTTGCCACTGCTTTCTTCCAAGATTTTTCCTATTTACAGAAAATTTCCAGATATTCTAGGAACTTCTCTTTGTGCCCGATTAGGAATGACTGTAGCATCAGATGCTGTAGGCTCTGTTCGGGTTGCCTTGAGGCGTGAGGCACGTGAGTCACGCCACCTTTTATAGTCTCGATAAATTTAATCCTCCACGCTATAATTTCCTCCAGGATTTCACACGAAACGTCACAAAGGGAGAACCGAAGGCAGTGATTAATTTGTTTGGAATTATAGGTTTCTCTTGGCAAGATTCTGATTCTTCCTTAAAAGTGAACAGAATCAGAGCACACAGGCTCCCCAGGCTGGAGTGAGCGGCAGACGAGGATGGACCCCACACCCCACATCTAACCATCCACACAGGTGCCGGATGACCCGCCCGGATGCCACCTCAGGCTCTGGAACGCACGCGAGATGAAGCTGACCTACGTCACGGCCACACAGCTCTCTTTAGTTTTTAACTGACTCTCGGTGATGCTGTCACTCATGGGTGTAAAACTGAGCTCTGATAATGCCACCTGGCACTGGACCATCACTGTCCAAAAGATGAGAATTTTCCCATTTCCTCCTTTTTACTCACCACAGCTCTGAGACGTACAAAGCAAAGAATCATTGTTCCTTTTTTTCCCCACTAAAAAACAAAACAAGGGGCGCCTGGGTGGCTCAGTCGGTTAAGCGACTGCCTTCAGCTCAGGTCATGATCCTGGAGTCCCTGGATCGAGTCCCGCATCGGGCTCCCTGCTAGGCAGGGAGTCTGTTTCTCCCTCTGACCCTCCCCCCTCTCATGCTCTCTGTCTCTCATTCTCTCTCTCTCAAATAAATAAATAAAATCTTAAAAAACAAACAAACAAACAAAAAAAACGAAACAGGAAGGAGTGTTTTCTGAAGATGTCAGCAGCCGTTCGTGTGGGAACGGAGACCAGACTAGTTTCTGCCGGAGAAGAAAGAGCTCACCTCTGATTCTTTTATCAGCAAAGTTCAAAGCTGAAGCATTTAACTTCAACTTCATTTGAGTGAGTGCTCCAGGGGCAAAGTCCTAAAAAAGTGGTTTGCGTTTCTGTGAACTCTCTCAAGTAGCTAATAATCTAGAAACAAAAGCCTGTGAGTCTGAGATGTTTGTACGATCTCTACCTGTTCCCTAAGTTTGGGATTTCTGCAGACATGAGGTCTGGTGTGGCGAGGGGTACATGCGGCCCAGTGAGGGGTGCGTGTCCTGTGGGGAGGTGACCTGTGTCCATGTCGTGGTTTGAATGGGGACAGCCTGAACTATCCTGGCACCACATTCAAAGCAAGCAATTCAGTCTGTGAATGATCTTTACTGGGAAGTTCAAGAGTCTTAATCCATCGCTGAAATGGGCGAGCAGAGATCTGGACGCCGTACTTGCCCCACTGCCCCTTGCATACCAGACAAGGACTCATTTCCCGGTCATAAGGAGCATCAGGCAGGGTGGCGACAGAAAGACATGCCCCTTCTTTGCCCACAATTCCGACAGCACCACAGCTCATCCAACACGCCCTCTTCTGCTCCAGTAATTCTTACTTAATCTCCTTTTCACGCTAGTTTCAAACACCTCAGGCAATGCTTCCTAACTGTGTGCTTGTTCCGATAGAGAGGATCTTACTCATCACAGAACCCACAGAGGACAGAACACGCACCAGCCAAGAACTCTGAATACCAAGGGTGGAGAGCAGGCTACAGCAGAAGCGATTAAGGCCCCCACCTCCTCAAACGATACCCAAAGTAATAGAAACTTCACTTTAAAATCCCCTGCCTTGTTTATCAGCACTATTAAAACTCCACGTAGAAGCGTGTTTTAGTGTGAGGAGAAAACGTGCAGACACAGGGTTCCACGGCGCCCTAACGAACGAGCGTGCTTTCCTTTATGCGCAGAAAGCCCCTGACAATCTAGCCGTCAGAGACATCGGAATGCTGAAAACCAGCAAAACCAAGGGTTTCACCAAAGCAGCAAAGCAGCAAAGCAGCCAGAGTTGGAGCTGGGCTCCGTGCTATCCTTCGAATGGATCCCGCGGCCGAGATGCACAGATGGGATTCGTAAACGTCAAGGGCACGGCCACTAAAGCCCCCTGCTCACCGAGGAGAGCGAGGTACTCACCTATGTGCGTCTGGGCCATGACGTCGGCCAGCCGGTGGGCGGCGCCGCTCCCCCCACTTTGGGTAGAAGAGGAAGAGGTCGTGGAGGTGGTGGAGCCGTGGATGGCCTGGCTGATCCAGTGCTCCATGTTGATGCTGCCCTGGCTGGAGGTGGGGGTCCCCTGGGAGTCACCCTGCACCGAGCCTTCGTCTTCCGAGCCAGAAGATGTATCTGTGAAAGAGAGGAGATGCGCTGTGCATCAGACCAGAAACACACCCAGACCCAACGTCGCCAGCAAAGACCCACCACACGCACTACCTGTCCAACACCTTTTGCTTTGAACTCTTAAAAACCAGTTACACATCTCAGATAATGCATTATTTTTTTAGTATAATGAACTTTTCATCCAGAACACCTTAAATAAATATGCTACAAAAATGTGTGTGTTTGCTTGTTTGGATACTACAATTTCAGGCAAAGGCACTTGGCCGACTTGCTCCACTCAACCGTTTGGGAAGAAACCAAGTATTTCCAGGCACGCATACATACAGCAAGCGAGAGGGATGGGGGCAGCATTCTCTAAGAGGTGTTGAACTTTCATGTGTTTCAAAGTGTGTTTGTAGCCCTTTAGAGACCAGAGGTGTTTCTCTGAGCTATAATTTATTTTTAAATTCTGTGCGAGTGAAGATAACCATGTGCGTCCTCGAAGAGTAAGATGTCAGTGGAGACAATGGTGTAGAAGTTAGAAGAACTGCCATCTCTTTCCCACCAACCTACATGCTCAAGACTTTGCTTCCTCCTTTGGTGAGGACAATACGTCATCACATTACATATTAAGAGCAAGCTAAATGTATTTAACATTCATTTCTAGGGGCGCCTGGGTGGCTCAGTGGGCTAAGAGTCTGCCTTCGGCTCAGGTCATGATCCCAGAGTCCTGGGATCGAGCCCCGCATCGGGCTCCCTGCTCCGCGGGGAGCCTCCTTCTCCCTCTCCCACTCCCCCTGCTTGTGTTCCCTCTCTCGCTGTGTCTCTATCAAATAAATAAATAAAATCTTAAAAAAATTCATTTCTAATAAAATTTTTTCACTATTTACTAATTTTTTTCCTCTGTGAAAATTGTGCATCTTAGATTGAGATAAAACATGTCACTCTGTACATTAAAATTAATGGAACTATTTTCATTTAATAAGATTTCCCCAAGCAGAGAAGTTTTCAAGAATTAAATATTGGTGTACTTGTTATTTAAACACCCATGTAAGAGTGAATTCTGGGTCCTACCACTGTGAGTTATGGGAGATGCCAGGAGGAATAAAAGACTGTGAGTAGCTCAAGAACATCTAATGACAATGAGAGAAATGACAATTTTCTTAAGTCGAGACACGGGATTCTTTTTTTTTTTCCAACACAACAATATTTGTGAAGAATATTTATACTCACATTTTGTTAAAATTGTGACATGACCTGTGCTATCTGGAATATTTTTGAAAGTCTGTTAGGAATTTGTTAGAAAAACAGCAGTAAAAGTAAGAGCCTGACAAATTCTCTCCCTCTGTCCTGCCTCATAAAATAGCAGGATTATAATTTACAGAAAAGTAAAATTGATACTTTTTTTTTTGTATTCAGACCTAAGACTTCTTTCAATTTTTTTGATTGTGATAAAATACAACCTAAAATTTACCACCTTGACCATTTTAAAGAAGTTCGGTGGTATCAAATACACTCAATCTGTGCAGCCGTCCCCACCATTTTCCTCAATAGGTTCTCTTCATCTTGCAGATCTGAAACTCTGTCCCCATTAAACAATAACCCTCCATCCTCCCCTCCCCACAGGCCCTGGACCACCATTTTGCTTTCTCTATACATGATGTGGGCCACTTTCAGTACCTCATACAAGTGAAATCGTACAGTATTTGTCTTTGTGTGCATGGCTATTTCACTCAGCATAACATCCTCAAGATTCATCCATGTTGTGGTGTATTGCAGAATGTCCTTCCTTTTTAAGGGTGAATTATATTCTGTCTCATGTGTATACTGCATTTTACTTACACATTCATCTGTGGACGGACATGGGCTGCTTCCATGTCCTAGCTATCATAGCGCTCTTCTGAATATGGCCGTACAATTATCTCTTTGAGACCCTGCATTCAATCCTTTTGGCTATAGACCCAGAAGTGGAATTGCTGGGTCATGTAATATTTTTATTTTTAATTTTGTAAGAAACTGCCATACTGTTTACCACAGAGGTGGCACCTTTTTCCATTGCCACCAACAGTGCACAAAGGTTCAAATTTCTCCATGTCCTCACCAACACTTGTAATTTTCTGCCTTTTTTTTTTTTTTACAGTAGCCATCCTAGTGGGTGTGAGGTGGTAGAGGTGGTATCTCATTGTGGTTTTGACTTGTGTTTCCCTAATGATCTCTGATGTGGTACATTTTTTCTTGCATTATTGGCCATCTGTATCTTGTTGGGAAAAATGTTCAAGTCCTCAGATTTACAGTTTTTGAGAAATGCATACACCCATATATCCATCCAAATATTACCATCTCCCTCCCAAGTGTTCTCATGCCTCTTTACTGTCAACCTTTCATTCCTACCCCAAACCTTTTCACAAGAAAACCACAGAAAAATATCCCTTGTGACACAGACACAAAAATCCTCAAAAAGTATTAGCAAACAACCAAGCAACATATAAAATGGTTAGTACATACCAGGACCAAGTGGTGACATTCAAAAGTGAATTAATGTTATACCTCATATAAATAAAGGGAGAAAAACCCTAAATTAACCTTGAAAGTCACAGAAAAAGTATTTCACAAAATCTAACATTAACTCATGATAAAACCTCTCCACAATGCAGGAATAGAAAGGAACTTCCTCAACCTAACATAGGGCATCTGTGAAAACCCATACCTAACACTGCATTTAATGTTCAGACTGAACATGTTTCCCCTAAGATCAAGACTCAGGTAAGGATATCCCCTCTTACCACTTTTATTCAACATTATCTGCTAAAGCTCCAGCCAGTGAAATACAGCAAAAAGAGTAACTTAAAGGCATCCAGATTGGAACGGAAACATTAAAACATTCTTTAGTCACAGATAATATGATCTTGTATGTAGAAAATCCCAAGGAATACACTAAACAATTCCTGAATTAATGAATGTTTAGCAAGGTCACAGGATATAAGATAAAGTTACAAAATATCTTTATACAGATCTAAACACAATTAAGGGAAGGCAAACATAGTTTGGAAATTGTGTATCTGGCAAAGGACTTGAAATCAGATTATATAAAGAACTCTTAACTAGTGAGAAGACAGACAATTCATTTTAAAAATGGGAAAAAGTGTGGACACTTAACCAATGAATATATACAAATAGCAAATAGGCCCATTCAAAAACGCAAATTAAAACCACGATGAGATTATATTTCATATCCACTAGAATAGCTACAATAAAAAATACCGACAATACTAAGTGTTGGTAAGGATGCTGAGAAACTGAAATCCTCATATATTGCTAGTGGGAATATAAAATGGTGGCAGCCATATGGAAACAATTTGGCAGTTTCCTGAAAGTTCAGCATAAACTAACCGTAAGATTCATTAACTCAACCCCTAGGAATCTACTCAAGATAAATAATATATGTATACACAAACATATGTACGTAAATGTGGATAGCAATCTTATTCATAATAGCCAAAAACTGGAAAGAAGCTAAATATCGACCAACTAGTGAGTGGATAACCAAAATGTGGTGTATCTAATAGGATACAATTCAGCAACAAGAAGGAATGAATCGATGCATGCGACAACATGGAGGATGCTCAAAAATATTATCCTAAAGAAGCAAGATGCAAAAGAATGTATTTTATAATTTTATTTATAAAATGTCTATAATATTTATAGAGGCATATAAATTAGATCAGTGGCTCCCTATGGCTCAATGTGAGAATGGGAATTAACTGCAAATGGGCACAAGGAAACTTTTGGGGTGATGGAAATGTTCTAAAACTAGACTGTGGCAATGGCTGCAAAATCTATATATTTATTAAAAATCATTGAGTTACACACTTGCAGATTAGTTTTATGGAATGTAAATTATACCTCAAGGAAGGTATTAAAGATGAATGTGTGTTCTATAGTAGTTGAGTATAATATTCTGTGAATATAAACTGCATCAAGTTGGAGGATAGTGTTCTTTTGGCTACTTATTATTTAAGAAAGGTATTGTTTAAATCTCCAATTATTATTCTTGATTTTTTTATTTTCCCTCATTATGCCAGTTTCTCCTTTATAAATTATTTTTTAATTTAATTTAATTTTATTATGTTAGTCACCATACAATACATCATTAGTTTTTGATGTAGTGATCCATGATTCATTGTTTTCGTATAACACCCAGTGCTCCATGCAGTACATGCCCTCCTAAATACCCATCACCGGGCTAACCCATCCCCTCACCCCCCTCCCCTCTAAAACCCTCAGTTTGTTTCTCAGAGTCCATAGTCTCTTATGGTTCATCTCCCCCTCCGATTTCCCCCCCTTCATTTTTTCCTTCCTTCTCCTAATGTCCTCCATGCTACTCCTTATGTTCCACAAATAAGTGAAACCATATAATTGACTTTCTCTGCTTGACTTATTTCACTTAGCATAATCTCCAGTCCCATCCATGTTGATATAAAAGTTGGGTATTCATCCTTTCTGATGGCTGAGTAATATTCCATTGTATATACGGACCACATCTTCTTTATCCATTCATCTGTTGAAGGGCATCTCGGCTCTTTCCACAGTTTGGCTATTGTGGACATTGCTGCTATGAACATTGGGGTGCATATGGCCCTTCTTTTCACTACATCTGTGTCTTTGGGGTTATCCTTTATAAATTATAATGCTGTTTTGATTATATATTCATTATTATGTCTTCCTGATGAATTATTCACTTTCCATTATGCAAGGTCCCTCTTTATATCTTGTACTACCTTTGTCTTGCTATTTGATACTAAGAAAGACTTGTTTGCTTTACATTTAATGTTTGCATTGTGTATTTCTTCAATCTTGTATTCTTAATTATCCTAATTTTTTATTTAAATGTGTCCTGGTTCGCTCAGTTGGTGCAGCATGTGACTCTTCATCTTGGGGTTGTGAAGTTTGAGCCCCACACTGGAGGAAGAGTTTACTTAAAAAAAAATATGGCTGTGTCTCTTATAGACAACATAGAGATGTATCTT